AATAATGATAATAATAAAAAGGTCCCAACAAACTAATTGAAGGGATTCCTGGTAGCCATTCTTCAAAGAAATACAAAAGATTGTACTCAGCTGACACATTTATATAACCATTTTGTTGATTACCGTGTTTTTACCTAATATAACGCACGAAATACCATTTGGGAGATGTTGACTGCGCTAATGCTTGATCAAAAATGACTACATTTCGTTATGTGTTTACCAATTAAAAATTAAATATGGTCTTAAAGATTTGACCAACTAGTACTTAGTCTAATTCCACGGTATTCAAATTTTATCTTTTCAATGTTAAAAATCGTTTTAAATTTATGTTTTTTCCTTTTCTTATTACCACTTTTCCAAGCTATATTCAAAGAAATGGTTGAGTCTAACAACGCAAAGGCTATATTTCTTCAAGTAGGTGAAGAAATGCAAGTAAAACAATGCACCTACTGCAGCGGCAAAGGACCTAAACAAGAAAGCAAATGCAATGTACTAAATGTAGAAACGATGGCAAGATAAACCTCTTCATGGTCAATACTCTGTCCGTACAAAACAAGCTAAAATGTAAAAGTAAAATGTACGGGATCTTTGGATGTTTTTGTTTATTTTTATGATAAATGGGAAAAATCATGAAGTAATTTCTGACCTTAGGTCTCTGGTTGGGGCCCGGAAGGAAATCTGTATACAACAGAAATCAAAGAAAATGTTAATAATAAATAAAAATAAGAATGATTATCGTATATTATTATTAAATCGGAATTTTCGGACACGCCTGCGTTCTTAAAGAAAATATTTAGGAAAGGACACAGACGTGTCCGAAAATTCCGATTTTCAGCATTTTTATCAACATGCTGCTATTTTGTCTAATGGCCTAATAATAATGATTATCCTTTTTATTTCTTTTTAAATGTCTTTCATCAGCCTCAGTGAGTTATGTGCTATCTATCTATCTATCTATCTATCTATCTATCTATCTATCTATCTATCTATCTATCTCATACAAGTCTACCAGTCGGTTCATATCTATCTATCTATCTATCTATCTATCTATCTATCTATCTATCTATCTCATACAAGTCTACCAGTCGGTTCATATCTATCTATCTATCTATCTATCTATCTATCTATCTATCTATCTATCTATCTATCTATCTATCTCATACAAGTCTACCAGTCGGTTCATATCTATCTATCTATCTATCTATCTATCTATCTATCTATCTATCTATCTATCTATCTAATGGGTTGGTACCTAATTATCAGGCGTTTTTAAACACTATTTATTATGAAAAAAGAAACATAACAATTCAACAATAACATTTTTAAATGATTATTCCAGAGCATCTGATTATCGACACGCATTTTTATAACCTAAAAATAAAATATTTTTATTAAAAAAGTAAAGGAAACAGCATTTTTTATTAACAAATAACTGGCCCACAAAAACGCCTGATAATTATGCACCAACCCAATATCTATAACTTAAAACAATTTATAAGTAAATTTCTTCCTCTGTTATTCTGCCTTAGGCTAGGTGTGTAATTAAGTTTATATGTGCTGGTGTGTGCAAGGCCGATGCGAAGGTCTTGTAACCCGGCGAATCTATGATACGAACCTCCCCACTCTAGTACATCTCAATTGTTAGTATTCAAATAAAATACAATTTTATTGTAGCCTAATTGTGTACAATAATGGATCGGTCATATGCAATATAGGTGAACAAACCAATAGAAAAATTGAAAATAAATACAAAATATGTAAATACAATTTAGAGACATGTCATAATAGATCATTCCATCTGAAATAAATCAACAATGTCTTGTGGCAATTTCTAACATCAATTTGAGGTTTTTCCTTGTTAAAAAGTTGAATAATTTTAATGCATTAAGCATCATACTTATTATAAAACCCAGGTTGTGCGTATGTGTGTGTGTGTGTGTGTGTGCGTATGTGTCTGTCTGTCTGTACGTTTATATATTGGATCGGATTTCCTACATTTTTGAACCGATTTCAACAAAACTTCACAGGACTACGTAAAATTACCTTGCGGTGGTTCTGACAGCGCCAAAAATTGGAAAAACACAATTGTTTTTGCACGAAATCAATTTGAAAACATGATTAAGAGACATCGCTGTCGCGAGAATGAAAGGGGGACAACTCATATCGAGTTATACTTACTATAAAACCCAGGTTGTTTGTGTGTGTGTGCGTTCGTTTATATATGGGATCGGATTTCCTACATTTTTCAACCGATTTCAACAAAACTTCACTTTTTTTTTGGCAGGTAGTGTTTCTTATTGTCTTGCACACTTTTTTTCTTTATTTTTACATTCAGAATGCTTTAAAAATTCCATTTACAAGACAATTGTTAATAATAAAATTCTATTCAATCGGTAGACTCATAACGATTGAAAACAATGTTTTTGTTTGAGTTTGGGTTTGACCAATTCATAAAAAAAAACAAAAAAAAAAACAAAAACTAATTACGACATGCGTGTCCGTCAACCTTAAACAAAAATCTTTGTCAATTTTATTTTTCAGTCTTTATGATGGTCGATACTTGATCTATCTCTTACTGTTACATCCCCGGGCAACGCCGGGCTCTACTGCTAGTTATGAATAAAAAAAAAAAAGAGTGAAACTTATAAATTGTTTTTCGAGACTTGGCATGCGCAGAATAAATGACGTCAGAATGACGTCAGAATCCGCGAAAATTTTTCATCTTTTCATCAATAAGAAGCGTATTGGTTACACGCGATATATGACAAACTGAACAATCATGTTATAATATTTCACCTTCTGCTACATCTGGTCATAGCAATATCTAGATAGATAGATAGATAGATAGATAGATAGATATTTCATCTTTTAAGTGTCAGTTTAATTTGTAAATATTTTTCTCTTGCTGATAGATTTTTATTTTACTCCTGTGGCAGTGGAGACTTCTGGGGTTATTGGCCCTCGTTCGATGGCGTTCCTTCGGAGGATTGGTGCGATTGCGTCTCGATTAAGGGCCGAGCCTCGTGAAACGGTGTGGCTCTTGCAGCGTGTCTCACTGGCCATGGTTCGAGGTAATGCTTTCTCTATCATTGAGGCTGGAAGAGGATAGAAAAAATTGTTTATAGTTACTATATTTAAATTACCCGTGAAATTTTTCATGGGTCCAGCTAGTATATATATAATTAATACAAATATAAAGTTTATCACTTAACATCCCGATTTTAGAGTTTTGGCGAGGGACCCTCCAGCAATCACTCTATCTACTTGTCATGGGGTATCAGCAATTTCCACTAATAATAATTTTGTTCCTCACTGTTTGGTACAATTCTCAGTTTCATGCACATCACAATTTTGTGCTATTATATATATATATATATATATATATATATATATATATATAAATTTCTTATAGAGTATACTAGCAGCATGGCCCGGCGTTGCCCGTACTTAATTCAAAAATTATACAATCGCTATCACTTGACTTAAAATATTTTTGCTCTTCCTTGCCTTTAAAGGAGTGCACTTTGCCGTACTGATGTTGCTACATGCCTTACTTCTTGCCTGTCTCACACTGCAAATTTTTTCTAAGCTTTATACTAAAAATTAAATCTGTTACGAAAAAAGAACTAAACAAAATGAACACAAAACTATAAAAAAGGACTCGTAACTGGAAAAACTGAATGAAAAAAGAATGTTAACAACAATAACTTTTTCACACCCAACCCAGTTCTGCGGAATTAGAATCAACGTTAAGTTTAAGCAAGCGAATGAGTCAATTGGAGTAAAGTGCCATGCAGATTAAAATTTTTCCCACTTGTGACGAATGCAGCTATCGATTTTTTTTTTTGCATGCTAGCATGCTAGTTAACATTCGTGTCAGTCAGCTGTTGGCTCTCACGCTGGCCAGTAGAAAATGGCCGTAAACTACACGAAAACTGCCGTAGAAGCATGAAAAAAATCAATTATTTCCACTATCGATGGGAGTTGGGAAATGCAAAGTCGGTCTTGGCCTTCCCGTTAACTTGGAGCATGTGCATGTAAATTTTGGTGCAAATTCGTCGAAAATTGCGGCGGTACATTCGTTACACACACACACACACACACACACACACACACACACACACACACACACATCCTGGATGATAGAGATATGTAAAAGGATAATTTTTACGTTAACAAGTGAAAATTCTCCTTGGAAGAACAAATAAACGAAAAGAACGCAAAAATTTGTGAATTTGTAACGCATATAAATGCAGCTAGAAAAAAAGCAACTGTTGATAAGATAAGAGAATGAGAGAGAAAGACAGAATGAAAGACAGAGAGAATGAAAGAGAGAGAAGGGAAGAGGAGGAGAGAAAGAAAGAAAGGGAGGGCACAGTAAAAAGGGAGAGACAGAAAAGAGAGAGAAAGTGAGAGAGAAAAGAAAGACAAAGAAAAAGAGAGAAAGAAATAGAAAGAGAGAAAGAAAGAAAAAGAAAGGAAAGAGAGAAAGAAAAAGAGAAAAAGAAGTAGAAAGAGAGAAAGAAAGAAAAAGAAAGAAAAGAGAGAAAGAAAAAGAGAGAAAGAAAAAGAGAGAAAGAAATAGAAAGAGAGAAAGAAAGAAAAAGAGAGAAAGAAAAGAGAGAAAGAAAAGAGAGAAAGAAAAGGAGAGAAAACAAAAGTGAGAGACAAAAATAGAGATAAAAAGTGAGAAAGAAAAGAGAAAGAAAAAGAGAAAAACAGAAAGAAAAATAGAGAAGAAAAGGAGATAAACAAAGAGAAAAATGAGAGAAAGGGGAAAGAAAAAAGAGAGAGAAAGATAGAGAGTATTACAAAGCATTGACAGCGGCCCCCAATCTGGATTGCTCCCACCAATCGGGGGCTACCTGGGTAGAAAGGGGCACTGTATTTAACATTTATGGGTCCATTTCTCCCTCTCTTCTCCTACTTCAGACTAGGTGCGTAATGAAGTAAATTTAGGGGTTGGTGTGTGTATATATATATGTTTATATGTTGCCCAGATGTGTGTGAGTCAATGGATCTGTGTGTAAGCATCTTTTTAAATCATTTCCCCCCAATAGAGCCACTAAGACGCAATGGGGTTACTGAGTGTGAAAGAAGAAGAAAAAGAAAAGGAAAGAGAATAAAAGAAGAGGAACCAGAAAGACAGAAGCGTCTTAGGTGTTTGTGTGATTGTTTTGCTTGTGAGTGTGTTTCACTGTGTCTTTTGGTGCATGCTGGGTGTGTGCGTGTGTGTGTGCGATCTGTGCCAATGAATGACAATGCATTCGAAATATATATACACCCTTATGCAATATTTATAACTGAACAAAAAAAACCCCAAAAAACAAACAAACTAAGGACATTAAAATAAGAATTCCACTAGATTATTCTAATTTCAAATATACCCTTATGCAAATTAATTGAGACAAAACGAATAATTCCTTTATTATTTACTCTTTTTTCATAATTTCCATTGAAACACGACCCAGTGCACATGCTAGTACTCCGTATGTTCATTCCACGAAGTCGTTCCTTGCAGATTGATCACAGATTCTCGATTGGATTTAAATCAGGAGAGTTTCCGGGCCAGTCTATAGTACTTTGATTTGCTTACTGGTAAGGCTTGCGAGTGTATTCGTACAGTGTTAGAATTTTTGCATGCTTCCTTGGAGTAACGCCCAAGGCAGACAATGGCCGTAGGACAAATAATCGACAGTCGAAACAATAGTGTCTGGGCGTGATAAAAACTGATGCAATCCCGGACTGTGCAATATTTTTCAAGGTCAAAAAAAAATTCATCATACACCCCGAAAATAGATTCATGTTACTGCACACCACTGAAAATGCCCTAATCTGGGGAAAAAATAGAAATCGACTACATCCTGTCTGTCCAGTGGGTTTAAAACTGACCGTATGGCGAAAGAAAGGAAACTAAAGAGGTTGTTTCAATTAATTTGCACAAGGGTGTAAATAATAATCCTTGATTATCTTACGAAACGATTAGGAATTTACCTTTCTTCTATCTTTATTTTCTCTTTCTTTTTACTCTCTTTTCTTTCTCTCTTTTTCTCTTTTATTCTTCTATCTTTCTCTCTCTTTTTTCCTTCTCTTTTCTCTCTCTCACTCTTTCTCTTTGTTTATCTCCTTTTCTTCTCTATTTTTTTTCTCTCTTTTTCTTATTCTCTTTTTCTTCCTTTCTCTTTTCTTTCTCACTTTTTTTAAATCTCGCTTTTTGCCTCTCACTCTTGCTTTCACTTCTTTCTTTCTCCTTTCTCTCTCCCTCTTTCTCTCTTTCTATGTTTCTCTTTTTCTTTCTCTTTCCTTCTTTCTATTTCTTTTTCTCTTTCTTTGTTTTTCTTGTCTCTCTCACTTTCTCTCTTTTTCTTTCTCTCTCTCTTTTTCTTTCTCTCTCTCTTTTTCCTTAACTCTCTCTTTCTCTCTCTCTCTCTCTTTCATTCCCGCTCTCTTTCATTCCCACTCTCTTTCATTCTCTCTCTCTTTCTTTCTCTATCATTCTGCTTGTGTGCGTGTGCTTTTAAATGCACACACAACACGTCCGATTTGCACCGAGTACCCCAGCAAAGCGACTGAGATTCGCCAATCTTAACCCCGCGGGCCCTTTCACCAAATATTTATCATTGACCTTGTCAATTTGTCAGCGTCGATGACGCACATCCGCTGATTAATAACATCATTATATATATATATATATATATATATATATATATATATATATATATATATATATATATGTATGTCAGATTTACTTATACATGTCACTGTTTTCTTATTTAAAGCTGGTATTAACCAAAGAATGTTGGTAATATTTTCAGAATGCAATTACAGTTTATTCACGTAATAAATTACACAACACTTTTTTCGATGAACATCGTTACTTAGAACGATTACTTGGCTACTTATGCAAATGTAAAAACAGTCTTAGTTGGCCATAATACAAGTTGCGGCAAAAACACCTTCCACATATACCTCTCAGAAATATCTCCCACGTAATGGTAAGACATTAGCTTAGACACCATTGCCACTAATGTCTAGTATTTCTGCCACACCCTGTATAAGAGACAGATGGCTACAAAAAGGTACTGTTGATTATTTACGGCTTTATACGTTTTAAAATTAGATTCACATAATGTCTTAAATCCCAGGTAAAAGAAATGAAATTTAGAATTAAGGTCTACTTAGTCACCAGCACATGAGCTTATTGATTTACCTTTACCCTAAACCTTTGCGTCTTAGAGGCTTTATTGCCTTGTTCAGGGTGAAATGATTAAAATAAAGGTGTTGTTTTGATCAGAGTCTAATTATTGGATGTTGATTAAATTCTTAGTTCAAGGAAAGCATTAATTTATGTTTTTAAATTAGTTTCACAAAATGTCTTAAACTCCAGGTGAAAAAAATGATATTTAGAATTAAGAAGTGTCTACTTTACAGTTTTGTCAATTAAACATTTGCTATTTTCATGAGATGTCATGATTATCTGGGTAGGAAAACAAGAATTAGCACAAAAAATTATGCAGCACTTATTCTGATTAGAAAATTACTTAGAATGATTACTTTGTTACTTATATAAATGTAAAAAGTTGGAATTGTCAATAATACAGGGTGCAACTGAAATACTTCCCACATAATGGTCAGACATTAGCTAGGTGAAGACACCATTGCTACTAATGTCTTACCGTTATGTGGGAGGTATTTCTGGGAGATATATATGAGAGGTATTTCTGCCATGCCCTGTATAAGAGACAGATGGCTACAAAAAGGCACTGTTGATTATTTATGGCTAATTATTTAAATAATGCACCGAGTATTGTTTGTGTCACGTGGCAATAATTGTAAAGAAAATTATAGTTAATAAAGTTACCTAGATAGATAGATAGATAGATAGATAAGCAGACTGATAGATATATTGCGAGATATAAAATAAATATAGATAGATAGATAGATCGAGAGATATAAAATCAATACATAGCGATAGATAGATAGATAGATAGATAGATAGATAGATAGATAGATAGACAGGCAGACTGATAGATATGTTGAGAGATATAAAATAAATATGTAGCGATAGATAGATAGATAGATAGATAGATAGATAGATAGATAGATAGATAGAAAACTGTCACCATGCATTGTCGATTTATATGTCCACGCCGTCTGTAACTATAAATGCACGATATCCGATATTGAATACTTTCCTCCTATAAATATATAAATATTTTATTATATATATATATACAGGGTGTGACAGAAATAACTCTCATATATTTCCCTGAAATACTTCCCACATTATGGTAAGACATTAACTAGATGAAGTCACCATTGCCACTAATGTCTTATCATTTCTTGAGATTGAATCATTCTTTCCATTCGATTCTCTGGCTCTAAACATTTGGACATATTGCTTTGTCCATAAACATTTGGACATATTGCTTTGTCCCTCGAAAATGCTCCTGATAAGCACCAAGATATTCCAGTCTTATCATTATAGATAATGTTCTCCTTGAAAAAACTTTCATCACACATTTCTAACATTATCAGCGGGTTTTCTTATCCTATATGGGACCGGATCTACTACGACACACAAATATGTCTGCTGGCCGGACATCTACCACCCATTGTCGTAGATAAATTTGCCATTCGTCAAAGTGTCATTCGTAATCATATTAACGAACAGAGATTAGAGAAAGGGACTTTTGTTTTTACTTGAATACATCGATTCCATCTTTTTTATATATGCGTCTAGTACGAGTTTATTTGCAAAGAAAAACAAAATGAGTTCAGATTATTGAAGTCAATTTCGTCAAAACAAAAATAAAAGCTTGAGGATTTTGAATATATTTAATAAACTAGTCAAATACACGCCCTACGAACAGAAAAAACAATTTGTCATAAAAGTTCTCTTACCTATTTAAAAATTCTCTATAAACATATATATATATATATATATATATATTTGTATAAGTTTGCATATATGTGTTTGTATATAGTTTATCGCCATACTCGTTATATATATATATATATATATATATATATATATATATATATATATATATATATATATATATATATATGCTTTTTTGAATTTTCCTACTACGGATTACCAAATATTATCATTATATATGTATATTTATATATATATATATATAACTGGTGCTACTACAGAGACAGCTTAATGTCAAAAACAGACCAATAATAATTAATATAAAGAAAACGAACTCTTAAAAGACTATAATGATATTTATTTCGTTAAGATCGAGAGTTCAATCTCAACTCACCAGATCGACTCCTTAAACACAAATATAAAGGGTTAAAATTTAACCAGGTTTAAAAAACAAAAATTATGTTAAATATACAGATTTAAAATTTTAAATCTGCATATTTAGATTTAAATATGGCGATTTAAAATTAAAATTTAATTTAAAGAATTTTCTATAATATATATATATATATATATATATATATATATAAGTGGATATTGAAGTCAACACTCAGAGGCGACAGGCTGTTTCATGCTAGACGCAATCGTCGGGTCGCGAGTGTTTTTTTTTTCTCGACTATTTATATATATGTGTCAGTGGTGCAGTGTAGGTAGTCCGGTTATTTTGGCGGGATTGGATTGTTTATTTACTTATTTATTTATAGGTTAATTTATTTTACTTGTTTTTATTTATTTTCATTTTTTATTTTATATATTTATTTATTTTTTTCGGTTTTCTATGCTTTATTAACGTAGTAATTTTTTTTTTGGAGGGTGAAATTTGCTTAGGTCGCTTATTTAGATATTTATTCGTCCAATTTTTGGATTGATTGCTGTAGTCTATTCTGTTATTTTGGCGGAGGACAGTTTTTAATTTGTTTATTATGTTATTTATTTATTTGTATTGATTATTGTTACTTGTTTTTGCTTATTTATTTATATTTTTATTTGTTCGAACGGTTATTTTAGCGGGAGCAGGTGGCTAAGTTGTTCATTTATTTATTTGGATTAACCAGAACGGAATACCCACAATGCATCACTGACCTATATATATATATAAATAGCCGAGAAAAAACCCAACACTCGCAGCCTAACGATTGCGTCTAGCATGAAACAGCCTGTCACCTCTGAGTTTTAAGTTCAATGTTCACTTTTATATTTACATACGATCTATTTCTGATAATGAGCACTTTATCCCATACATATAGGACACTTTAAAATTATATTTCTTCCATCGTCACCGATCTGACCCCGAAATACCACCAATGAAGATTAACGGAGTTCCTCGCGGGGAAGCATCGCGCCTTGAAAGACTCTTGGGCCTCAAACTCACCACAAGTAGAACTCGTACATACAATCTGTTGCTAAGAATGCAGGTAAAAATAGTCGGTTCCCTGTACTGCTTCAGTCAGTACCCGATTCCTCCTGCCATCCTCTACTTTTACAAGAGCCAGATCAGACCAAAAATGGGGTACTGTTGCCATATCGGGGCGGGAGTTATCAAGACCTCACTCTCCAGCCATGATAGAGTTCAAAAGAATCTCCGAGCACAGGCGGGATGTGGCCAGCCTCTCGCTGCTCCGCTGCTACTTCCACAGAAAGTGCTCGGACGAAGTACAATCCCCTGGTCCCGCCAAGTCAAACCTTCACAGCAAGAACACGCCATGCCACTTACATCGTAGCAAATCACCCACATTGCCTCCATATTCGATCAGCGAGAAGTTCCAGCTTCTTTCCGCCAACCACTGCCCTGTGGAATCAACTCCCAACAGGATGTTTCCCCCGATCAATCTTAGCCTATTCAAGGCTAGGGTTAATCGTTATCTCCCTCACCTATATACACTAATATCCTCCTAACGTAACCCTCTACCTCGAGTGGTCTCCAGGCCTTGTAAAGGATGACTTTTACTATATATATATATATATATATATATATATATATATATATATATATATACTCATACACAACTATATATACTAAACTGATCATTCGAGATTAGATTTTTAAGGAATCGGGAATATTTTAATTTCCGATCGATGGTGGTAGAATTCATAGCATCAAAACATTCTCTTCCTTCTCCTCTTTGGTACCATTACCCCGTAGAATACGGGACCACGGCCTCACCACAGTAGAGCCACAGACTCACCACGCTTGGAATCGCTGCTGTGGATTCCATAGGAAATAGGTTTTATTTTACTAGTTTGGAAGTCAGAGTTTTCCTTCTACTTTACTGGTTACCAGTCAAGGCTAAATAACCGTGTCTCCCCTGCTATTTTATACATAGTTGATGGAAGTAGAGGAGATGAATTAATGTTTTCCCAATCAAAAATATAAGCTTATTTATTATATCTGGATAAGACTGGTACAAGGCCAAATTTGTGGTGTATCCAGTAAAGATTTTCACACTATTTTGCATATAGATTAGTAAATGAAATAGGTTTGCTAAATCACGGATTAAGTTAGGTGCCCATGGAATGAGGTAATTGTGTAAAATCTTCGTGTTTTTTTAATTAATTTATTGATATCTAAATCTTAGGTTTAACTTCGTTTAACCCCGCATCAAGAAGGGAGTCTGCCTACCTTAAAAATCAGCATCCGAAATTGTTTTTTTTTTCTGGTTTTCAACGCGGACCTCTGGCACCGGAATTAACAGTGATCAGTTAGACCGTCTTCCCCAAGCGTGGCCCCTCCATTGCACTACAGTTGGTTTGGGCTTTGCGATCACCTCAAACGTGGGCGACACGGATACGTTATTTCTAATGCTAGTATCTCTCACTGGTGATAAACATTATCGAATGGGTTATGGGACAATGAAATAATAATAATAATAATAAAAAAAAAATGAAACATTTTCCCATGATGCTGGTAATACAGGAACCGGAAAGAATTTTGGTCACGTGCACAATTTTATGACCCCACTTCCCGAAAGGACACAACCGTGCTCTCTTGTCATATACCAAGGCATAGCGTTCGGGCGTGTTTTGCAGAACCTCCACCGATGAAGTACGTACAACCGTTACTTTGGTCGTTCCAACTCAGCGCAAAGCTGATTTGAGCTCGGCCATGGACCAGAAAAAGAAAATGGACATACCTAGGAGACACTGAAAACTTTGTTTCTGTACAGTTACTCTATATAAACAACAGAATAAACGGTCCCTAATAGAAACCCAAGTTTTTGTTGCTTCTTCTTTATATTTGCGTTTTGCTGTAGGCATGTGCGTGTTCACAAAACGCAACCTTAAATCTCATAGGGTCCCTAGATGGAGTGTTTAATTTTCTGCTGTCGTTATCAGCTATTTCATGTTACACAATCTGATACACGGACCTGAAAAATGCCCGTTAATATCTACTGACCTTTGTTTCAAAGATTTCCCACCATCTCGAATTTTACCACAGAAGGTTAAAAATGATGTAGAAGGCGTATAAATAGATGTTTTTCAAGGAGAGATGTTTTGTGATTGTTTAGGAAGGAAGGAAGGAAGGAAGGAAGGAAGGAAGGAAGGAAGGAAACCAGAAAAGACGGAAAGGAAAGGCATTTTAGTTTAAACAAGAATCAATGCTAAAGAAAGAACAGACAAGTGCAGGAAAAAAATGAAGGAAAAAAAAAAAAAGAAACGAATCTCAAAGAAGATAAAAGAGACAGGAAATGAAAGAATGAAAAAAAACAAAAAAACAAACAAAAACGGAAGAATGAAAAGAGAAAGAAAAGAGGAAGTATAAGAAAACAGCGAAGAGAAAGAATAATCATCTAACAAAAGAAAAAAAAAAAAGAAAAGCAAAAATTGGATGGTGAAAGAAAATGAAGAAATGGAAAGTGAAGAAAGAACGGAAGGAAAAAGAAGTATAAGAAGAAGAAATTAAAGAAGGACAAAGAAGAGGACCTTAAAGAGAGCATCGAAAAGAAGAAGAAGGAGAAAAAGAAGGATATTAGATAATAAAAAATCGGAATACGAAAAACCACAAGAAGAAGAAATGAAAGAAAAAAATATCCGAATAAAGAGAAAGAAGAAGAAGAACCTAGAGAAAATACAAACAAATGTAATAACTAGGTGAAATATATATATATATATATATATATATATATATATAGAGAGAGAGAGAGAGAGAGAGAAGAAAAAATTGAATGCGCAAAAGAGAAGAAAAAGAAAGAAAAGGAAAAATATTGTATAGAGGAGGAGGAAAAAGAAGTGAAGGAGAAAGGAGTTGGCAAAAAAAAGGGGAAAACAAGAAATAAAAAAGGATAAGAAAAAAGCAAAGAGTAAAGAAGAAAAAGAAAAGGAACAGAGAAAAGATAGAAAGAAAAAGTAAGAGTAAGTAAAGAAGAGATCGGGAATATGACAAAGAAAATTGAACTTCCGCCATTAGAAGCACCATCACCACCAATAGCAGCAGCAGCAGCAGCAGAAGAAGAAGAAGAAGAGAAGAATGAGGAGAAAAAGTGAAATTGAAATGAAGAGGAAAATAAACAGGAGTAAAATAAGATTGAATCGATAAAGAAAGAGAAGAATGAACAATGAAAAGAAGAAAGTGAATAATTAAGAGAAAATAAAAAATGAAAAGAAAAACAATAATAAAAATAATAATGATAATAATATAGACAAAAAACGAGAAGAAAAAAGAGAAAATATGAAAAATGAAGAAAAAAGAACGACACTACTACTACTACTAATAATAATAATAGTAATGAAGACTGGCGAAAAACGTGAAGAACGATGTGAGGAAGAAAACATTAGAAGAACGAAGAAAAAGAAAGTGAAGAGAAAAAATGAGCAGCAATAATAATAATAAAGATGATGAAAAATAAGGAAGAACGAAAAGAAGAAGAAAAAGAAGCAAAAGAAAGAAGGAAAGATGAAAAAGTGAGAAGAAAACAACAGCAATAATAATAATAATAATAATAATAATAATGGAGAACGACAAAATGCCAAATGAATGAAGGGAAGAAAGAGAATCAGACGAATTAAGAAAAGAAGTGTGATTAAAAAGAATGAAGAGGAGAAAATAATAATAATAATAAGAGCAACAACAACAATAATAATAATAATAATAATAAAGACCGACGAAAAACAGGAAGAAAGAAAAGAAGAATGAAGGAAAGATAAAAAAAAAAATGAGAAGAAAATAATAATAATAATAAGAAAGACAAAATAGAAAGGAGTAGAATCCAGGGAAAAAGAAAGAGGAAAAATGAAGGAGAAAGAAACGGAGGAAAAGAATTAGATGATTGAAAAGTAAAACAGCGTGAAGAAGAAGAATGGGGAAGAAGAAGAAGAAGAAAGAGGAAGGGAGAGGAAGAAGAAGAGGAGGTGGAGAAACAGAAGAAGGAATTGGGAGGAGGTGTAGGTAGAGAAGAAGAAGAAGAAGAAGAAGAAGAAGAAGAAGAAGAAGATGGTGGAGGAAGAGAAGAATGAAGAGGAAGAGGAGGAAGAAGAAGAAAGAAAAAGAGGAGGAGGAAGATGGAGGAAGGGAAGAAGAAGGGAAGAGAGGGATAAGAATGAGGAGGGGCGGAGGAGGAGGCGGAGGAGGTAGAGGAGGAGTAGGAGTAGGAAGAGTAGAAGAAGACGGTGGGGGAAGAGAAGAAGAATGAGGTGGTGGAGAAGGAGGATGAAAAAGAGGAGGAGGAAGAAGGGGAGGTAGAAGAAGAAGAAGAAGAAGAAGAAGAAGAAGAAGAAGAAGAAGAAGAAATGAGAACAATAAGTAATGGCTAAAATAAATAATGAGAAAAGTTCAGAAATGTGGAATGACTTGATCCACCTTTATCTTACAATGACGCATTTTATTTACCTCGTTTTTTGTTGCATTAAAAAACAAAACTCTTTTTTCCCCACATCCACCATTTGAGATAAGAGAATGAAATAATATCTGACGAATGGTAGGGTGCAAATTGTTGGCCGCGAGGCCTACGAATGCCCCCGATCTCCTATCGAGATCTGAGTTTCCCCTATTTACTCAGTTACAGTTGCAAGAAAGGGTTCATTGCCCAAGATAAGTAGTCGTCTTTATTTCGTTTCTTCAATATATATATATATATATATATATATAATGTCGAAGGTTGGGTGTTGGTAACAGAAAGGGGCTGCTTCGTTACCAGTTTTATTTTATTTTTATTTTTTAGTTGAAGTGGTCTTTGGGTAGAAGGTTTGGATGGAGGGAGTTGTAAAAAGATATATAGCAACACTAAACAACGCCACCCTGATCTTCTATCCGCCACCCTAACCATTACCTATTCCACCCTGTGATTCCCTATCTGTCGTGTTCGCCAACATCGTTGTCACCGTCGCCAAACGACCCTCGACCCAGATCTGCTTCTATCACAAACCACTCCCATACCTGGTGACACCCTTGTCACAACCACCATCGCCACCATTACCCCGTTTTAAAAATACTGCGATAACTGGTATATATATATATATATTTTCTTTTTTTTTTCTTTTTGTAAAGGAAGAAACCTAAAAAAAAAACACTCATGCAATCTGAAGGAAAGAGAAAAAATGTTTTCAAATATTAACCCAGGTAAAAAAAAAATACCAAGTTTCTGTTGCCTTAAGTCTCTTCTTCATCTGTGAATATATTTTCCAGCATTCACTGTCATATACGAGAATTGATATTACATGCCATTTCAGCATTTTGGTCATTGACTGAAGTAGCTCCCGTAACCGACTCCTTTGGGATCGACGAGGATGGTTGGCAAACAAGACAAAAAAGGAAAGTCTTAACAAAAGGCGGATGAAGTCTTCATGAATCAACGACTATAGTTGGTGGCTCAATAAAATCACCGTGAAGAAGGCAAGGACTGGAGCAGTGCTAGATTTAGCTAAATGATGATTGCGCCATCAATTTATACAAATTCGTTAGATAAGTTGCTCAGTGCTCCCCTCTGACCTACTTACCTTCAATATATCATGAGATTGTTAAATTCTCCAAGCCCCCTTTCCTTATTATGAGTCGCAGAAATTTCAACTATTTCTGATTCTATCTACATGAGTCTTTTTTGTTTTCATTTTCTTTAGAACTTCCTCTTTGCTCACATGTTTAATTCATGGTATTCTCGGCATCGTTCCGTGGAAGCACGTATAGAAAATTAGTTATGGCTGATCTATACAACGGAGTAATTAAGTGTTTCGTAATTAATAGTTTCACATCAGTATTTATGATGGATTCAAGGCATGGGTCTCCACTACATTCATTCTAATTCTAGATGATAGTTTCTCTTTCGGAAAGGTTTATTGTGAATCTTACTTTTTGGTAGAGGATTTTTATTTTTTGATCAAGATCATTCTAATCCCAGCTAGGAATGCCTATGTCATCAGCATATTGTCCACCTCATCATGAGAACATTGAGCTCAAGAAGTAAAGTAGAAATACTGTTTTCTATTAGTAGATTCCTTTTGGATATTGTTATAATAATAATAATGGACTATTCCATACTTAATAAATACTGCGCCTCAGGAGTAGGCAAGGAGTCAGTCGCTCAAGTCTTGAACGACAGATCAGTTGAACTCACTGCCTTCGGGCGGGGAGGAACCCGAAAGAGGCTACGCCGAAGGGTGGATTCTCTTTCGGGGAGGTAGACCGGCCCTGAACCCGTTTATACGGGTTCAATGGGCATATTTTTGGCCGAGCCCACGTTAAAAAGGCCTTGTGCCACATGACACCCTCGTGGGGGGGGGTGATTGAATATCGTCAGTCGCTCAAGTCCTGACCGACTGTTTGGTTGAACTCTCTGCCTTCGGGCGGGGAGGAACCCGAAGGAGGCTACGCCGAGGGGCGGAGTCTCGTTCGGGGAGGTAAACCGGCCCTGAGCCCGTTTATAGGGGTTCAATGGGCATATTTTTGGGCCGAGCCCACGGGCTCGGATATCCCACATTAAATAACCGACCTTGTGTCACATGCTGCCCCAGGGGGTGATTGAATATCGTCAGTAGTTCAAGTCGGATCAGTAGTTCAAGTCGAGTCAAGAGTCGAGCCAGAGGCAGTCCGTGACAGAGTCGCGTTCAGACAATTACTGCAAGACATTGGAATAGTGATACTGGTCTAGACTACATTGTTCTCTCTACTAAACCTGATTTGTTCATACTAACACTTCTACTTCTCTGTATATATTCCTGTTTGTAATATATCTGTGTTATTCCATACCTGTGTTCGAGTTCTTCTTTATTGGTTCTACCTTGGACTATCACCGTGATACAAGGAACCGGACCATAACAGATATACCATGGAATACTTAAATAATCAGTGCCCATCTATTCGCATCTGTGCCTGTATAGGCGCAAAGCATAGTCTAAAAGCAGATTAAAAAGATTGGAGGCTCTCATTTCCTCCTTGTCATAATCCTGATGACGTTTGTAATGTTTCAGTATTGGGGCCTTTGCTAGATATGTACGACTTTGTGGACCGATATATTTCCTCGATCAGGTCTATACATTCAATTAAGTCAGAGCATAGAAGACGTTTTCTAATGGGTGAAAAGATGTGGTCATAAACTTCCATGAGGTCAACATGGCAGTTATGTGGTTTCTGTTGGTTGTTACAGTTCTTTGTAATTCTGTAGTACTAATCTACAGATTTCAAAGAATGATAGTCCTTGTTAAGACATACGGACCGCATTTGCTTAAAGCTATTTTTAACCATTGATCTGAGAAAGCGATTGTATACAGATAACAGTTTAGACATTTCTGAATAGGTTGGGTATCATGCATGACATCCATATAAAAGTATACATCTTATGAGGCTATTTAAGAACATGACTCAAGCGCTTAGGTTGATGTTTTGGCTTAGTAGCAATATGTGGTGTTGTGTGAAACTACTCATAGTATAATCTATTCTATGTTCAGTATCCTTATCTCATATACTAAATTTGTTACAACAGAGCTATTCACCGAGGTATTTGAAGTCTTTAGTGTATACTAATTCCACATACTCAATATTTATGATGGATTCATGGTATGGGTCTCCACTACATTCATTCTAATTCTAGATGATAGTTTCTCTTTCGGAAAGGTTTATTGTGAATCCTACTTTTTGGTAGAGGATTTTTATTTTTTGATCAAGATCATTCTAATCCCAGCTAGGAATGCCTATGTCATCAGCATTGTCCACCTAATCATGAGAACATTGACCTCAAGAAGGAAAGTGGAAATACTGTTTTCTATTAGTAGATTCCTTTTGGATGTGCCATGGAATACTTAAATAAACAATGCCCAGCTCTTCGCATCTGTGCTTGTATATGCGCAAAGTCTCGGGAGTGATTAATAGATTGGGGCTCCCATTTCCTCCTTGTCATAATCCTGATGACGTTTGTAATGTTTTATTAGTGGTGCATCCACCAGACATGTACAACATTGTGGACCGATATATTCCGACCACTTCACTGACATATAGGAGAATTGATATTAGCTTTTCCGATCTTAACTCTAGCACAAAAATTTCTTCTCTTCCCATGTATTTGTTTATGGAAACAAGTGCATTTTAAGGGAACAGGGTGCTAGCGCTACGTCCAAGATAGACGGCCACCACGAAAGTTAAAATATTTAAGACCTGGGGGATAAGAGGTTTCATGCCTTTTTAGAAATAAGCCAATTTTTTTTTAAATTGAATTAAACCAAATAAAATTGGCAGAGGTCAAAGGTAAAAGTGCTGACGAAGATATCTCTCTTGATTAGGTCGAACTGAAATTTTTAACAGACGACGGGAAATGTGACACCGAAATCCGAAGCGTGTTGGAATTGCTAAAGATGTCTTCCAAACACTAAGCAAAGTATTAAGAAACAGGAAAATTTCGTTAAAAACAAAGTAAAAAGTGTTGTACTGCTACGCAATATAAATTCTGTAATAGACTTAGGAAAAGTATGAAACCTCTTCTTCTCCCCCCAGCTATGGGTAAATAGCAGCACGGACCGGGGTTTATAGCCTTGGATAGCAACTTGGTTTATCGCAAAAAGAAATGGCAAACTACTGCAGGAAAAAAATCTGCCTCGTCAGTCATGAATCGAATGATACATGATCATCTAAGCGTGTACCACGCGTGGCACATCACTGACTGACTCTTGGGAAAGGTATGAATCCTCTTCTCCCCACCGCCAGCTGTGGGCAAATAGCAGGACAGACCGGGTTCTATAGCCTTGGATGGCAACTGGTCTACCGCTGAAAGAAATGGCAATGTACTGCGAGAAAAATCTGCATGTATCGAAAGATACAGGATCGCCTCAGCGTGTATCACGTATGGCACTGACTGATGTTAGTGAATACAGGACAATTTCCTCGCTAATGTAGAGAACATTTGAAGCAAGAGAAATGTGTTTCTATAGAAGGATGCTGAAAAAACCATGGAGCACACACGTGAACAACAAAGTTATAGAGACAATGGCAACAAAAACGACACTCATGCGTGAATACTGGACATTCTCCTCACAGATGAAGAAGGGATTGAAGCATCAATAATATAGTTCTGTTGAAGGATACGGAAAATACGATGGACTATGCATGTGAGCAATGACGAAGTCCTCAAGACAATATAAAAAAAAACAAGACACTTACGCCTGAATGCTGAAGATTCTCCTCACAGATGATTAAGTGACTTGAAGCAACAAAAATGTGGTTCTACAGGAGCATGCTGAGAATACCGTGGACCGAACATGTGAGCAGCGACGAAGTTTTAGAGAAAATGGAAACAAAAAGGACACTTATACTTAACATCAATGAGAAACCAAAACATGAAGACAGACTTGAAGCAACATCGGTTCTACAGAAGGATGATGAGAATACCATGTAACATGGAAACAACGAAGTTTTAGAGAAAATGGAAACAATAAGGAAATGTGGTTCATCGGGAAGAGAGAATACCATGGATGGAACATGGAAGAAGAGACATGAAGCAACAGAAATGTGGTTCTACAGAAGCATGCTGAGAATACCATGGATTGCACATGTGAGCAACGACGAAGTTTTAGAGAAAATGGAAACAAAAAGGACACTTATACTTAACATCAAGGAAGAGAATACCATGGATGGAACATGAAGAAGAGACTTGAAGCAACAGAAATGGGGTTCTACAGAAGGATGATGAAATACCATGGACCGAATATGTGAGCAACGACGAACAGAAAAATGGAAACAAAAGGACACTTATACTTAACATCGAAGGAGAATACCATGGATCGAACATGAAGAAGAGACTTGAAGCAACAGAAATGGGGTTCTACAAACATGCTGAGAATACCATGGACCGAATATGTGAGCAACGACGAAGTTTTAGAGAAAATGGAAACAAAAAGGACACTTATACTTAACATCGGGAAGAGAGAATACCATGGATGGAACATGAAGAAGAGACTTGAAGCAACAGAAATGGGGTTCTAC